TAGAGGTCAAACCCATAAGATCTCGTGACCAACTCATGGCTCTGGCACATGGATAGCAAGCTTCCACGCAACCCTGTCCATAGCTAGTTCTTTAGTGATACTCCAATCCTTTAGGTCTCTCTTAACGGACTCCTCCCATGTCAAATTCGGTCTACCCCGACCTCTCTTGACATTATCCGCACGCTTTAGCCGTCCGCTATGCACTGGAGCTCCTGGAGGCCTGCGCTGAATATGCCCAAACCATCTCAGACGATGTTGGAGAAGCTTCTCTTCAATTGGTGCTACCCCAACTCTTATCTTGTACTCCCTCCGTTTCTAAATATTTGTCTTTTCAGAGGTTTCAAATGGTGACTACATACGGAGCAAAATGAGTGAATCTACACTCTAAAATATGTCTATATACATCCGTATGTGGTGACCATTTGAAATCTCTAGAAAGACAAATATTTAGGAACGGAGGGAGTATATCATCATTCCGGACTCGATCCTTCCTTGTGTGGCCACACATCCATCCCAACATACGCATCTCCGCCACACCTAACTGTTGAACATGTCGCCTTTTAGTCGGCCAACACTCAGTGCCATACAACATTGCGGGTCAAACTGCCGTCCTGTAGAACTTGCCTTTCAGCTTTTGTGGCACTCTCTTGTCACAGAGAATGCCAGAAGCTTGGCGCCCTCGAATGCACGGATACTTCAGCCGACCAGCGTATCAGTATCGGATACCGTATCCGATACCGATACTCCTCCGATACGTATCCCTGGAGTATCCGAGAATAAATGATTTAAAACAATTGCAATACTCGAATGATACTTTGCCAGTACGTTTTGGATACTTTGCCAGCCCAGGTAAGAGCCCACTCAGCCCAGTTAAGAGGCAACCAACAACCCTAGTGCCTGGATGCCCCCCATCCTTTCCCTCACAGCGTCTTTCCTCCCTCCCGTGCTCACACCAGGCGGCGGCTGTGTCGCCAGCGGCAGCTCACCCAGGTCCCAGGGCCAGCGGCGGTGGCAGCTAGCCGGTGACAAGCTGCTCCTCATCACCAACGTCCCCTCTCATGCAGCAGCCATCCTCCTCCTCACCAACGTCCCCTCTCACGCAGTCGCCATGTATGTACAATTCTCTTCATTTCTCCTGCCCAGCCAAGCTCATCTCTTCTTTCTTCTCTGATCTCTGAAGATCTCTTATTCTCATCACCCCAGATTGCTTTGAGTAGCTACAACGTATCCGTATTGGCACTTTTTTGAAATGACGAATTTACGTATCCGTATTGGCCCGATACTGATACCCGTATCCGTATCGGTGCATTCGAGTATGGCGCCACTTCATCCATTAGGCTTTGATTCGATGGTTTACATCTTTATCAATACCCCCATCCTCCTGGAGCATTGATCCCAAATATTGAAAGGTGTCCTTTTGAGGCACCACCTGCCCATCAAGGCTAACCTCCTCCTCACACCTAGTAGTACTGAAACCGCACATCATGTACTCGGTTTTAGTTCTACTAAGCCTAAACCCTTCCAATTCCAAGGTTTGTCTCCATAACTCTTAACTTCCTATTTACCCCCGTTCGACTATCGTCAACTAGCACCACATCATCCGCAAAGAGCATACACCATGGGATATCTCCTTTTATATCCCTTGTGACCTCATCCATCACCAAGGCAAAAAGCAAGGGCTCAAAGCTGACCCCTGATGCAGTCCTATCTTAATCGGGAAGTCATCAGTGTCGACATCACTTGTTCGAACACTTGTCACAACATTACCGTACATGTCCTTGATGAGGGTAATGTACTTTGCTGGGACTTTGTGTTTCTACAAGGCCCACCACATGACATTCTGCGGTATGTTATCATAGGCCTTCTCCAGGTCAATGAACACTATGCAAGTCCTTCTTTTGCTCCCTGTATCTCTCCATAAGTTGTCGTACCAAGAAAATGGCTTTCCATGGTCGACCTCCCAGGCATGAAACCAAACTGATTTTGGTCACGCTTGTCATTCTTAAGCGGAGCTCAATGACTCTCTCCCATAGCTTCATTGTATGGCTCATCAGCTTAATTCCACGGTAATTAGTGCAATTGAACGTCCCCCTTGTTCTTGAAGATTGGTACTAATATACTCCGTCTCCATTCTTCTTGTATCTTGTTTGCCCGAAAAATGAGGTTGAAAAGCTTGGTTAGCCATACTATCGCTATGTCCCCGAGGCCTTTCCACACCCCAATGGGGATACAATCAGGGCTCATCGCCTTGCCTCCTTTCATCCTTTTTAAAGCCTCCTTGACCTCAGACTCCTGGATTCACCGCACAAAACGTGTGCTGGTCTCATCAAAGGAGTTGTCCAATTCAATGGTAGAACTCTCATTCTCCCCATTGAACAATTTGTTGAAGTACTCCCGCCATCTATGCTTAATCTCCTCGTCCTTCACAAGGAGTTGGTCTGCTCCGTCCTTGATGCATTTGACTTGGCCAATATCCCTCGTCTTCCTCTCTTGGATCTTGGCCATCTTATAGATGTCCCTTTCGCCTTCCTTCGTGCCTAACCGTTGGTAGAGGTCCTCATACGCCCGGCCCCTTGCTTCACTGACAGCTTGCTTTGCGGCCTTCTTCGCCATCTTATACTTTATGTTTTCTGCACTTCTATCTAGGTGTAGGCGTCTGAAACAATCTTTCTTCTCTTTAATCGCCTTCTGGACATCATCATTCCACCACTAGATATCCTTATCCTCACTTCTCTCTCCCGTGGACACTCCAAACTCCTCCGAGGCCACCTTATGATCTTCATCCACACATTGTTTGCATCCCCTCCTTCCTCCCAAGGTCCCTCCTTAATGACCCTCCTTGAACGCTTGAGCTACCTCCCCCTTGACCTTCCACCACTTCGTTCTAGCGACTTTGGCACGCTTATCCCGCTGGACACGAATCTGAAAGCGGAAGTCAGCAACCACCAGCTTATGCTGAGGTATTACACTCTCTCTAGGTATCACCTTACAATCTAGGCATGCATGCCTATCTTCTCTTCTCGAGAGGATGAAATCAATCTGGCTAGTGTCGTAGGCTAGAGCAAAGCTTAAGACATCTTCTCCTCCTTGATTCCTGATGCCATAGCCAAAGCCCCCATATGCATCGCTTCAAAACCTATGTTATGTACCCACGTGGCCATTGAGGTCTCCTCCTATGAAGAGCTTCTCGCCAATCGGTACACTCCTAACAATGTCTTCCAGGCCTTCCCAGAACTCCCTCTTGGTGTTCTCACTGTGGCCTACTTGCGGGGCATACGCTGATAACATTGAGAACTAAGTCCCCAAATACCAGCTTGACCAGGATAATCCGGTCCTCACGTCTCTTGACGTCTACCACTCCATACTTGAGGCTCTTGTTGATCAAGAATTCAAGATGCCTACGCCATTTCTGTTTGCAGTCATCCCCGTGTACCACAGCTTGACGCCAGTATCCTCCACCTCCTTCGCCTTCTGTCCCCTCCATTTGGTTTCTTGGACGCAAAGGATATCAACACCCCTCCTCACCACTGCATCAACTAGCTGCAGAAGCTTCCCTGTCAGAGACCCTACGTTCCAGCTACCTAAGCGAATTCTCCTAGGCTCGGCTAGCTTCCTTACCCTTCGCACTCGTCCAGTCAAATGCGAAGACCCTTGCTCATTTTCCACTACATCCGGGCGCCGATGTAGCGCGCCACTAAGGATGCGACGACCCTATCCTCGCTCACTTGCCACCGTATCCAGATCAAGATACGGCGCGCCACCAAGGGGGTGACGGCCCGGCCCTTGCCCATTTGACACCACACCTGGGTTCCGATGTGGTGCGTCGCTGAGAGGGTTACGCCCCAACGAAAATCTTTTGGGTTTCATCTCCATAAGAGTGGTTGAGTTTTTACGTTGGCTCGCCAAGCCTATCACAACTGTCCTCCTTTACCCGGGCTTGGGACCGGCTATG